TGTGTGTGTGTGTGTGCATAATGTTTTAAGGTAGCATTGAATCAGAGGTGTGTGGTGGACAAAATTTGCGGTAAGAATCCAACCATTGTTGAATGCAGCACAAACGTTTCAGCGTGTTGGGGTTGCATTCCACGGTTTAATTACCCAAGTTTGAGGTAATTGAATGTTTCGGCCCAGAGTTTCGGCTGCTGTGGCTTGAAGTATAATTTTGGAACGTCCTGCTACTTAGCGGGACAACAAATTTACTCAAGCAAAGTACGATGAGCATGATCACGGAGGGCACTAATTGTTAAGTCGAGTAAAATATCTTCGTTGTTCAAATGGGAAACTGTTTATCAATTTGCTATATCAACTTCTTTTACCAGTTTTATTTTACATAAGAATATAAAACAGATATATTTATTTATTCATTTCCATTTTGAAAAGTGCCGTCAATAGATCAAATAATTCTGTCAAAATTGTTAATGCGTTATGATTTGTGTGATTTTTCATTACAATTTACTTAAAATATCATTTTTTGAGAGCAGATAATATTTGAAATCAAAAAATGTGAATTTTATCTAAATATTCACATAAAGAGTTTCTGAAAATTAAACAGAACAATGATGACAATCCTTTCTTTTATTTCTCTCAATCTTTAATTTCGTCTTCCATATCATTAACAATTTTTTTAATTTTTATGATCGGCATCTGAGATATTCGAAACTATAACAATGCTCTGTCAAAATAGCAAAGTTCATCACTCAAATATTATTTGAGCAACTAGGAAGTAATTCTAACTGACAGGCTTTGAATTCAAATACTATCTCTTACTTCGAAATTTTCGCAAAGTTAGCAGTTAAGATTTTAGCCAAAATACTATTTATGACGGTTACTTACTTGGATTTCATCAATCGATTAAAAAGAAGTATGCAAAGTCACCGCGAAACTGCAGCAATGAAAGAATAAAACTGCTATTAATTAAACTTGTTATGTAATTAAAATAGATTTGCTATGTAATAAAGCATTAATTTTTCTTATCATCCATTATGCTATCATTTGCCGCTTGTATTATATTTTCATATGCTGCTTAGTTTGTTATTTAGCATTAAATGTCTAACATTGAATATTCGTGATATATTCTTTAGGAAGCAGAAGTTACGTGCAAAAAATTTCTTCAGAGATTTCACTCGTACTCCCAGACTTCTCAATTTTTCTTCTAGCAGTCTTTTTCGTAAGGCTTTTTGAGCATTATCATGAGATTTTAATTTAATGATTAATTCAAAAACAGTCAGATTAATGGATTCAGTTTTCTCATGGCTAAGCTAATATGGATAATGAAAAAAATCTGCTAGCAAGAAATAATACTTGAAAAATTATACGAAAACTTTCACAACAATATTAATTTTTTAAAAAAGAGTTTTATTTAGCCTAATTTAGGTTGGTACCGAGAATGTCGGATCATCCCATATACGCACGATATTGATTTTGCGGTCTTCATCGAGGAATTTTATGAAAAATTTCCAGAAGATGTTGTGAATAGTTCGTTTATCAACCTTATTCTTCGATTTAATAAAGTAAATTACACGTAACAGTAAAACAGAGACAAATAAGTGATAAATTAATTAATTGATCAGGAAACTGATAATTATTTTCTAATGATACATGCATTAGCAAATAAAGTTCACAATTCACAACGCGAATTGATTCATTTTATTTTACTACAACATTCTTATTCTTGAATTTTTATAGCCAGAAGATTTATTAGAATATAAAATGTATGTAGAGAATAATGTTCCAATGGATATCTTCTTATATCATGATCAAAACAGTTCTTGGGTTGAAAGTTTATCTAAAACGATCGAATACAAGTAAGTTTTTACCATCGTTCAATTCTTTCACCCAATCTGGCCTAATTTAGAAGTGTTATGCAAATCAACATTTGCCGTGATTTGAGGTTTACTTATCGTTGATTAATTAAACTTGCTCAACTGATCTACTGGGTTACTTAATGTATGTACCATGCAATGCACTGGATGTTATTACGGTAAATTTTGACAATTCGAATTTATTAATAATTTCATACAAGAAACTAAATGAATGTAATCTTATTAAATGAGTAAAGCTAATTCAGCTATTAGAAATTCTTCTTTCGCTTTTCGTTACTTCATTTTACAGCGATTATGGTGTAAATCGGTCGGAACCAGTTCACTCCTCCAAATATTCCAGGATCAATTCACCACGAAACAAGAAAAAAATCGGTAAAATTCTATCTGAAAAGAGAGCTGAATTATTCATCAATTACGACAGGTAATTCATCAACAACATTTCACACAATGATGACTATTTAATTTCCAATGATTCTAATGCTCTTTATCCAATCTTGAGTTACAACTTATGTAGAAATATCAAATTTTTTTCATTTCCACTAAACATTTTGCAGTTTGAGAAAGAAGAAGATCGATGAAAAAATTACAAATTCTTTGGCAGAACATATTATCACAAAATGCTCAACATTCAAAAATGCTAATTAGCTCAAAACAATTAGTGAGCACTACAAAACGTATCCGTGGTTGACAGCGTTTTTTTTTCGGAGAACAGAATTTTTCGCGTTATTTTCTGTGGAATTAATTCGATTGCAGGTGTATCTTCATTTTCACTTATATCAACTAATCTCCTGTCTCAATAAAAGAATCGATCAATTAGCAACGTCACATAAAATTCAAAATACAGAATTTGAAGAACTGCGATATTTTTCGCAGAAAGATGAAAATTATGCAAAAGTTTTTCCTTTTTTTCTTGTTCGTTCAGATAAAAATGAAGTTTAAATTTAAAATGTCACAATACTATTACTGCTCGTTTGTTTTTGTGTTACTGTTATTCAGCGATAGTGCTTTCCGCTAATAGTATTTATAAACAATTAAAGTAAACAATTTCTAGACAATTAACTATTTATAAACAACGTAAGTGGTTCATTTATAAACCACTTATGCAACTTAAAAAAATGCTTCTAAAAAATAGTTGAACTATTAAATACTGTAGAAAAAAAGCAAAATTGCCATAGAAAATCATTTGAAAAAATGAAACAAACAATATGCGAATTCTAGAAATTCTAGAAATTCTAAAAAACATCCTAAAAATTCTAATATAACCAAAAAAATAAATAAATAAATAACAGAATCTTTCCGTTGTCTTTTTTTCATCATTTTCAGACGTTCTCCAATCCGGCTTTAAATTTATAGCATGTTAAGCTTAGGCGCAGATTTAGCGACTCTTTGAAACTTCTTGCAGCAAATTACCGAAATGATAAATGTGACACAGTCAAAATCATACGATCATGCTTGATCGTCTGAAAATTCAGTGATCATGTGATACGAGTAAATTACGTTGAAAGCATAGCATCTCTTGAAATGATGACATTCCCGGTGTTGTAAAAAAAAACATCCTTTATTTTGCAGCAATTATTGTTTCAGTTTTTGTAGCTTAAAATAAAAATTGTCCTGCGTTTTCAACGAGATTTAAATATCAATGATGGGTAAAAATTAGACACTAAAGCGGAAGCAGATGTAAAATTTTGATGTAAAATTTTTAATTTTAGTCCTTATTTTGATCCTCAAGCTGTCGTTGAACAAGGAAACGAAGCATCTGCAAATTAAAATTTCATTCATCTTTTTCTAAATTAGTGATGAATTTGCTAAGCTTTTAATTCATTCCATCTTGCTGATTATTTCTCCACCATCCACAATGAAACATTATTCTAAATCAGATAATATTTCTTCTTTTTCATCTGTGCTTTTTTTCTTTTCCTTAACTTCATCCTTAGACAAATGGATACAGATATTTATACTCGAAAATAAAAAAAAAATCATTATGACATTTTTGATATCTAAATTTTATCGAAGAATTAGATCCTCAATAAATTGAAAAAACTTTTGAAAACATGTGATATTTTTTAAGCAGAATGAGTGAACATCAAATAGCCTGGAAAGATTGCTGATTTTCAACTTAGCACCTTGCTTGCATGTCAACACTAAAACATTGAAACTACAAGAGATGCTTTCATAATATCTGAAATTTAATTACTGAAATATGTCAGTGATCTGCAATTGCTTTATTATGCCCATTTTTATCCTCGTCGAATCTCATGTTCTCTTTTTAACTTTGGAAATGGTAATTTATTAGCTTCGAAACTTGCAACTTGTAATGCTTTTCAACTTTATTAATTAATAACAATTTCTAACTTTATTAATAATTTTAATTTAGCTCGTACATTTTGCTTGCTTATAAATAATCGTTATTTATGTTTTCGAGACAACGATGAATCGAATGTCAAACAACAATAATAAATCATTGTAAAAAATTATGATTTGATCCGGAACTTTTCTAATAAATATAGAAACGTATAATCGTAAACAGTGAAACTGACGGATACATTTATAGGTCCCTGAAAAGATAATCTCATAATTTTATAGAATTATGAGAAAATGATGAAAGAGAGACTGTATATATTAATTTGCCTAAATAATATACTAATGTCCAACTTCATTAAAATGCTTTTAATTTTTTGACTTTTGTGCCCCTTTTTACCTTTACCGAATCTCATGTTCTTTTGTTAGCTTTGAAAAGCATTTATTAACTTCGAAACTTGTCGTCCTTTTCAGCTCTATTAATTAATAACAGTTTCTAATTTCTAGTCAGCTTTAATTAATAATTTTAATTTGAACACTGTACTGTTAGATTTATGCTTGTTCTCGGCATTACAATTTGAACATTAAAATATTTCATATTCCAAATTAAATTAAATGCTGAGTAAATTGAGCTAATCGCAATACTTTTTTCTTTCTTACTTACTGCAATAATGATTACTAATTTATTTTTGATTAATTATTTAAAGATTCTGAAATATGATCCTACCCTTAGGATCATATAAGATCTTTAGAAATTAAATCAAATATTAAACATTTCAAATGAATATAATGTTAAGCCATTCAATTCAATCAAATATGCTTGGAATAGGTTAAAGGTTAAATATCGTTGTCTAATACTAATATCTCTCTCATACCTTAATCCAATTCATGCTAATCCCCTTATATAAACCATTCCAAATTCCTTCTTTACGATAAATATCGTGGAGTATATGAAATGCATAATGACTTGATGGTATTCGACCCGTTTGCATTCGTCGACGAACAATATCGATGGGATAGGAAATAAATTGACCAACTGCGCCCGAAATTGCGCCGTAAATGAGTCGATGATAAGGTGATACTGGTTCATTCCAATGTTCTGTATGAAATTGAAATGTTAAATTTGCTAATAGCTAATTTTAATTGAATGATCAATTGTTTGAATAATTAATCCAATCAAATTTGGCAAGTATGTAAGTTTTAGCTTTTAAAATAAATTAAGCAACGATTTGGATAATATTCAGTTTTTGAGTATCAAAAATTTTATCAATTTTTCTTCGTCACATTAGAAATTATGTTGAATTGTTTGTGGTTGAATCAAAAATAAAAAATTCATAAAATATCACAACTCAAAAAGTTTTCGATAGACAACGGTCATTTTTTAATTCTAGCTTACATTTTTAGCAAAAGAAAGAGTAATAGTTAAATCTTCAATATTAATATTGACAATTAATCATTTTTATAAATAAAAGTGGAAAGGTGAAAGTTACGATCGTTATTTATCATGAATTAAATAGATCTTTTGTATTTGATCGACGGTTTCAATAACAATAATACCTCGATGAAAAAGTTTAAGTGTGCCAAATGTATAGAAACTACCACCTGCGTAAACCATAATACCAAACAAAGACGGTATTACTCCGTAATAAAATGACCTTCAATGTGACATTCACCATTTGCAATAACCTAACACTTCACAATATAGCAAAGGTTATATCGATTGTTAATTGATAAGAATGAAATTATTAAAAAATCACGTCTATAATTAGCAATTCAAAAATCAATTGAATGTTTTAAAAAAAAATTTTGACCAAACATTCCAATTAAAAAAAAAAATGTCAAGGATAACTGATGATTCGAACAGTGTGATTGCGCAACGATTAAAATTATTCAGCAGGAAATGAATAATTTTAAAAAAATTAAAAATTTCAAAAAAAAATTTTAAAAATTTTCCATGTTGAAAGTTTATGATTTTATACCGAATTCCTTCTCTGGTATACATTTTATAAAAAACAGATCGAAGATTGATATATTCAGTGTATTTCGATGAAACAAGTCGAGTTCTTGCTGTATCTAATGGATAAACAATTAGGGTGGCAGTAATACCACTCAATGAACCGGCTAATAACCGTCGTACAGGTGTATACTTTCTGAAATTATTTAAATTGTTAGCTAATTAATCACATGTTAATATTTTGTTGATAATCCTTCATTTGTCATTTTGTCTGTTTAATGATTTATTAAATTAAAATAAAATTTAGTGATTTAAGTGAATCAATAAAAAATTTAATACTTCCATGCTATTTTAATATTGTCACTAATTACTATTATATTTTTATTTCAATTCTATTCATCAACAAACAAGAAAGAGAACAAATTATTACATTAAATTATTCCTATTAAAAATGATCTATTTAATTTAATCTCGTTATTCATTAACTCATTTATTTTACCCATTGTGATCAACACGAAGCATTGATTTGTACTGTTCATGCGATGCAAATTGGATAGCAGCATATGGTACCACACGAAATAGTGTTGCTGAATTACCACGCCAAAGTGAAAGTAATCCGTCTTTCTG